TTATCAAACTTGGTTTTAGCCAAAACAGGCCATTTTGTTGTAAGCATACTTGATTTTGAATGTGACTCCCAGAAGGCTATGGCTAAATATAAATTTAGAAAAATAATTAATTTAGTAATCATGCATGTGATATTTTGTACTAGCCATAGTGCTCATATATTTACTGCCTAAAATGATTTTGAAGTTATGTTTCTCCTTACATGTCAGAGATATATGGCTGAATTCAATAATAAAATACAGGATCTGAGCAAATGTAACTGTAAAATCAAGAGAGACTTTATATGAGTTAAAACACTATTCAATTTAAAAATGTTATTTCTGATCATTACATATAATTCTGAACCCTTTCACATGATGACAAAACTGAGAATATATAAGATGAAACACAATGTAATTTCAGCACACAACTTATAGATATTTGGTAGAAGGAAAGTATCAGCCATTTCACTTTGTGGAAGGAGAAGACCAGGAGAACAGATGACTTGTGAATAACATCCTAAAAACTGGTAGATGATACATGCCAAGTTTTTTGAAGTCTGAATAGTAAAAAACAGCGGTGTGGTTCTTCTTTTACAGTATAATGTATTATGACCATTCATATCTACAGTCACTTATATTTCTCCACTGTACACAATGCATCTGGAAGATTTGTGGTTTGATTCTTAACACAGGGCCCAACTACACAACTTAAATTTTCAAATTTTACCTCAGTCTCTCTGAGCATGTCCAAGAATAATACCTTAAAAAAAGACTATAGCTGCTTCCTTCCTAATTCATCATTTATAATAATCATGTCTTTTATACTACATAAAATGTGCGGTTAATATAGTGTTCGTACAAAATCCTAATTAATACATAACCAGTTATAAAAATCATAAATTTCCAACACAAACTTTTCCTCACTCACTGTTGGTCTGGATGGTGGCTCCAAACCTTTCTTTCCCTTTTTAACAATCATGATCAATAGATTATTTAAGTGGTCTAGGTGTTAAAGTGACCTAAAAATTCAGACTCATAATGGAATTTTCTTGAACTGTTTCTCTTTAACATGTTATTGTTCTTATTGAAAATTTCTAATTTGAAAATATGTAGGTAAGTCAATAAGTAAGTTACAAATGGATATAGAACTTAACAAATAAGAGTACTGATTTGAAAAATGTTTTTATTTCTCAACATAATCTCCCTGTACATCGAGGCATTTGTCCCATTGTTTCACAAGCCCCTGAAAACAAGCAGCATAAAATTCTTTGGGCTGCTGTCGGAACCAGGCAGTAACTTTCCTTTCTACAGCTTCATTGTCAGGAAAATGTTCAGCTGAAAGATGATGTTTAAGAGGGCCAAGCAAATGGAAGTCGCTTGGAGCAAGGTTGGGGCTATATGGAGGATGCTCAAGGATTTCCCACTTGAAATTTTGCAGCGTCTCATTTGTCTTGTTGGTAGTATGGGGGTGCACGTCACGCAAGAGTAACATGCCTTTGGTGAGGAGTCTTGGTCACTTCCGTTGAATGGCTTTACGAAGTTTCCAAGTGACTTCCATTTGTTCGGTCCTCTTAAACATAATCTTTTTGCTGAACATTTTCCTGATGATGAAGCTGTAGAAAAGGAAGTTACCACCTGGTTCCAACAGCAGCCCAAAGAATATTATGCTGCTGGTTTTCAGGGGCTTGTGAAACGATGGGACAAGTGCCTCAATGTATAGGGAGATTATGTTGAGAAATAAAAGCATTTTTCAAATCAGTACTTATTTGTTTAAGTTCTTTATCCATTTGTAACTTACTTATTAACTTACCCTCATACAAACCAGAATTCTCAAAACAATAATATTTAACTCTACAAATTACCAAGAGCTGGTTCATTAGGTTTTATTTCTGATCCTCCTTCAGTCTGGATATTTATGTTGTGAAAAATATATCTGCTTTTCCCCAGTTTTCTCATTGGGTTCTTATTTCTTTCTCAGAACATCTGCTTTCTCACATGAATATATTCACCAATATTTATTTGTGTGTATATGTGTATGTGTGTCTGTTGTGTGTGAGCATGTCTGTATTTTTGTACAGAAATGTCATTGAGGTATTCACAACACCCTGAAAAGTAACATATGAGGGGGGACCCAAAAATAACCGGAAACGACCTGTTGCACGCGCATGCTTTGTAGTTACGAGTTGTGCTGCTAGGTGGTGTTAGCTGGGGGTCTCCCGTGACTGTTAGTGAGCTGGCGTCAGTCTGAGTTAAGTGGTTTGCCTGTGGTGCTCTGTTGTGTGCGTTCCTGTTTCAACCCTTTGGCGATTAGTGAGATGGCCGACCAGAAGGAACAAAGAGTGTGCGTGAAATTGATGAAGATCGTCGAGAGACCACTGACCAACTTTCTGAGGAAACGAACATCTCATGGAGCACGGTCCAGCGAATTTTAACCGAAGGTTTGCACATGAGANCAACAGAGCACCACAGACAAACCACTTAACTCAGATGGATGCCAGCTCACTAACAGTCGCGGGAGACCCCCAGCTAACACCACCTAGCAGCACAACTCGTAACTACAAAGCATGCGCGCGCAACAGGTAGTTTCCAGTTATTTTTGGGTCCCCCTTCATAGTTGTTATAAAGGTTAAAATTCTTGTTGCATTTGAATAATTACTTAAAATTAATAGTCTTTTTTAAAGTTTTATGAAGAATTTCTTTGTTTTGGACTTGAGTTTTGCTGTCTTCAGTTTGTATGACATTGTTCTAAAAGATCATTACAAAGCAATCTGTAGCAATGTTCAAAATATTGGCATTTATGAGAACCACGGCCAGTTACTCAAGATGCCTGAGAGCCAGCAACTCGTATTCATTGTGGTGTTAGTCCTTTGACTGAGATACTTTGTGGTCTCATTTCTCTCTTTGTCAGTCATCTCCCATCATACAGTAATATGTAATTTTACGGACAGCTGGTATTAAAATCTAGTAACATCATGCCATCATATTTATAATAAATTATATATTTTAAGTAATAATTGTTATGTACAGTAAACAATGTAGCAACATGTCATTTCCATTTTTTGCAAGTGCATAAAATATGTCATTCCAAGCCTCTTCTATAGTAAGTACAAGCACTGACATGCAAATCACTGCTTTGGCTCAACATGAGTAGACAAAACACAAGGTAGCCAGAATTCCAGGTCGTGACTAGCATATTTTGATACTACCTTCAAATTATAAGAAGTAACAAGTATTCTAATTAGAATTTCGAACAGTCACTTTTTTTTTGACAACTCAAACTGAACATTATTTCAGCAACCATGTAATAAATATAACTTAAACTTTCATATGAACAATACAGGTTAGTAACATTTTAAAGTCATTATATCCTGCATATAAGTGCTGCAGATCCATAATTTTGAATCTTAGGAAGGTCATAGGTATCTATACTCCTGTTCCCATTTGTCACATAACAATTGATGTTTAATGCTCTCACTATTTTAAGGGTGTGCCAAATCTTGTTTTCGTCAGCCATAACTGAAGCCTATTCATAAACTCAATAATCATTTTCCAGCACAGTGGTTCTCAACTCTCTTCTGAGTTCCAGACCAATAACACAGTAGCGTGTTTCTCAGTCACCTGTCTGAGATTATACAGTGCAAATAATAGTGTATAGGCCTAATTATTACTAACATGACTCATAGTATAAATGAACTCCTTTGCATGGTTTAATGTTGAACAGACATCACAATAACCTACACTCAACATTCACAAATAAGAATTATGCACAATTGGGAATATGTAACAAGTTTCAGTAACCTTATTTTTGAGGGGTGCATCCAAACACTCCAAAATTGAGTGACCTCTGCCTTATAGCTTGCTCAGACACAAAATTAAACATTGAAAAACAATGGTAAAAAGTAAAGCTATCCGTGTAAGAGGCCGTGAAGGCCCATAGGGTTGTGAGACGTTGAGGGTCCCACATTTTCTAGACAATCAGCTCAAAGATGGCGGTAAGGTTGTCAGCCTTATGCTCCTGCCGCGCTTTACTCCCAAGAAAAATTATTTAATTAATTCCTGGTACTCATTTCTGTTAGAGGCTGAGTCCACCCCAGGGCCATATTGTGGCTGGAAGGATTAGGTCAACTGAAAAAATCCAATGACCTCATCGGGACTTGAACCTGCGACCTTCCGGCTTGTAGCATAGCCCCTCAACCAACTATGCTACCACGTGCCCCTGAAAAAAAAATAATGGTAAGAGTATAATATTCAGTCCAGGGTATTTTAGTCATTAGGATGAAATAAAAATGTTGTGCCAATTCATCCATATGCTCCACATGTAATTTAATTTAGATTTATTAATTTGTTTGAATTAATTTCAGCCACACATATGTTCAGTTTTCCCCAGGATATCTGAAGTTTCTTAAGGCATGTAATATGAGCAGATTCAGAAAGGTTTCTGTGCTGTCTGAGACAATAAGAAGGCTTGGAATACACACACATTAAGAATGAATGAAGGTTTAGTTCTAAGCTTCCAGTGTGTTGTAAAAGTAACAATGTCTTTCAAAATTCTAAAGGGTTCTTACTATGGGCCAAGCAACTACAAATTTATTGTTGGTAAGAAGGTGCAAATATTTTTGCAGGAGTATGTGATACATGAGGTGTCTGGATGTGGATATGAAGAAAATATCTGTTACTTAGAACTGAAAAATGGAGGTTTGGTGTGACTGGATTACACAAGGTTCGCCATGTTCACCCACTTCATGTTATTAACCAATGAGAAATAATTTTAGCTTGACTGAGGCAAGATTTATATACTTCATTTTAGAATACAACTAACTTAAGGGTGCTGGTCATGATAGCTGAACAGTCTGTACTGTCTTCACTCACTCAGAAGCCAGGATCGTGGGTCCGAATCCCACACAAGGCATGGATGTTTGCTGTGTGTATGCGTTTATTTTGTGCTTGTGTTGTCCTGTGTTTAGGTAGATGCCTTGCAACGAGCTGATCACCCATCCAAGGAGTCCTACCGTCTGTAAAAAATGATCAATGACACTGAGAAATCAGCCCTATGCTCCAAAAAGTGAGAGAGAAGAAAAAAGAAAAAAAAAACTTATGGGTAGCAGGCAAAATCCAGTTGTAGCCATGGTGGCAAAATGACAGATTACCTGATACCATCCTTGTTAATGATGGGTCATGTTGAGCCCTGATGACAGCATGAAAGATCAAAAGACCAAAAGATTTGCAAATCGTATTAGTACCATACATACAGATGAGGCTCTGGCTACATATAAAGGCATTAACTTATAGAACAGTATGTATATTATGTAATAGTGTAGGAAACTTGCAACTGTAAGCACAAAATAGTAAGCTGGCTTTGTATTCTTCATTGCTTTGGCACACTTGATGGAGTCAATAACAGTTCATAATGTTTCAAGTCTGTTCCCTCCACCTAAATTTTTGAACACTGTTAAATGCAGGGAAGGAATGAGAAAGGCTAAATGGAGCTCCCTGACCTCAAACCTGGGCATATATGTTTCAACCCCTCACGTATAGATGACACTACCCCTCACACCACATAAGTCAAACCAGGTACAACTAAGGCTAATTCTGTCATCACACCGACAATAAATTAAGGCTACTTCGTGGGAAGCTGAGCAGGTCGCAAGGGGTCCACTTGGGGGCGCCTCAGGCTCAGGGCAGGGAGAGCAGCTGCTAGGCTTCTAGGAAGATAAGCGCTGTTGGTTTTGGTTCCAAGTTGGACTTTTTGGCTTCTACAACAAGAAATTCGATGTCGTGGCGCTCCCGTCGAGCGAATGATTCTGCTATCAGCCGAGCCACATCCTGGTGCTGCAGACCTGAAAAACATAATCATCCCCACTACATGTATGCTTCTTGGGTCAGCTGCCCGATTGTATAGCAACGTGAAACCAAGTCCCTTGGTACTTTGGCCCTACTGCAGCAGGTCTCAGTGAGGGATTTGTAAAGAAGTGGTTGTGGACTGTTTTAAGTACTGTCCAAGTACCTGCCTGATGTGGCTAAGGAAAACCATGCAAATATCAGTCAGTATAGTTAGTAACCCTGTCAAGATTCAAAATAAGTTTTTCATAATTATGAAGCATAAGTGCTAAACACTTGACCATGAAAATTGGTGAATGTCATGTCTTTGATGAAGTATAAGTATTGTGAAAGTTGAACTAGAAAGGATGTTGAAGCAAGTAACTATCACCTGTTTTAAGCATAAGACTGGAGGGCTGAGGTGGTCTATGAAAAATAACATATTTTAACTAAGGATGGTAGTGAGCACATAGTCATACAGATCAATTGTTTATAGTTTGGTTTCTTATTTAACATTATCATCATTAACTAGACTATATAGTGTCAATGACATGGTAATCAATGACTATGGAGCTGTTAGTGTAACAGAAACTGGCAGGAGCAATCGAAGTACTCAGAGAAAGCCTGTGCCAATTTCATTTTGTCCATCACAAATCTCACAAGACCTGACACCATATAGAATCTGGGCTGCCATGATGGGAAAGACAGATTATAATCTGAGTACAATGTTGTTACAGGAAATAATATTACCAACCAAGGTAATGCCATAAAACAAGACTGCAAGAAATAATTACTGTTCCTGTAATAAAGGATGAATTTTATTTCCAACTCTCTGAGTTTTGTGTAAAGATTAGCCATAGGACAACATCAGACCACTAAATGAAACTTGACTGAATATATGGTAAAAATCAAATTATGGAGAAACTTTACAGGCAAAAACTTAACCAAATAAGTACTATGCCATGAAGATGTATGGGGGAGTGGATGTATAGACCCATGTTTTCTTGACCTTGGCAGTACTTGGAGGTGAGTGACCAGCTTCACGCCCCAGCCGCTTTACCCCTGGAGAAAAAGCCTCTGGTACCCATTGGATAGGAGGATAGGTGGGCCCCAGAGCCGGTCTTGACATGGAGAAGTGAAAATTCTTGCCCCTCCCCCCCCGGGACTCAAACTTCGCCCCCTTGATCATCCAGACCATAGCCAGTCACTATACTGACTGCACCTTATAGATGTTTAAATTATCAACAAAGTCTCTTCTGTTAAGCAACTTGAAAGTGCATCCCTGACTTCAAAGAAATTCATCATTGGACCATGTCCTACCTTAATTAGACTCAATTCAAATTCTTATAACTTATTTATTAAAGATACGTTATCTTCCCAGCTATTGCAAGACACCAAAAATTATCTCCTCTCTATAGATTTATAAACCAAAATTTTTTAGCCATGGCTTCTTCCCCTTTTATTATTTCAATCATAACATAAAAATGGCAAACAGATTGTTTAAAAATGTTGCAAATTTCACACATCTAGAGGCAACAGTAACAAACAGAAATTGCATGCATGAAGATGTCAAGGGCATATAAAATTTTCACAATATTTTATACCATTCAACTCTGAATCTATTGCCTTCTCCTCTGCTGCCTAAAAATGTAAAGATGGAAATGTAGGACTTTATAATTTTGCCTTTAGTTTTCTCTGGGTCTGAAACTTGTTCTCCCATATTAAGAGAAGAACACACATTGGAGCTGTTTGAGAACAGGGCGCTGAGGAGTATACATAGGCCTAAAAGGGATGAAATAATAGGGGACTGCAGGATATTGCATAATGAGGATTTAATAAGCTGGACTTCTTACCAAATGACATTAATGATAAAATCAAGGAGTATGAAATGATAAGAACATATATCATGCATGGGCAAGTAGGGAAATGCGTGCATGGTTCTGGCAGGGAAACAAGAAGGAAAGAGCCACTAGTAAGACTTAGTCATAGGTGGAAAAAAAATATTAGATAAATAGAATGGGGTGCTATAGAATGGATTCATCTGGCTCAAAATAGGGACCAGTAGTAGGTTTTTTCCAACATGGTAATGAATCCCTGGGTTTCATAGAAACCTGAGAATTTCTTCAGTAGCTGAGCCACTATTAGATTCTCAAGGCAGGCTCAATTACAAGGAGTTGCCCCATTCCCTTATGTGTACTACAGGTCCTGCTGATCTCATCCATAATTTAATCATCTTGCCAATTTACGTTATTAAAGGCTAGATATTGAAGAACTCACTCCCCCTGCTTCATCTTAACACACATTCTCTTCAGTCCCTTGTTCTCAAGCACTCCCAAATCTTTGCTCTTCTTAAAGTTCCACATTAACATAAAAAAGCCACAGGACAATTTATGAAACAATGACCCAATCTGCTTTCAGTGTGCAATATAACAGAGAGGATACAACAAAATTATTCTGTGTAATGATGTATTACATCCATGGTGTTCTAACTTGAAAGCGGTACACTTATCTGGAGAGTTGTGGAAGCATATGTACCAGACTTCATAACTTAACATTTTGTTACTGGCAAGTACGATATTTAACCAAAATATGAATATTTAATGAAAGAAATAACAAAGGTTGGACCTGTAACTGTAAATTGCCTGCTTTGTAAGGAACCACAAAATTCATCTTCATCTATGTCTCTTCAGCCAGTACAAGATCTACTGGTGACCTGTGCAGCTAACCTCAAGGCATTGCTTCTTCCACTGCACACCAGCCCCAGTGCTGATGTGACTTGGTTGAAGGAAGCTTTTGGGCTTCTGAAAATCCAAAGACCGTGGAGACAGTTATGTGACCCTTACAGTCACGTAGTCATGAAATCACATGATAGGATGGCAGACCTAGTTCAAGAAGAAGACAGTACTTCGTAGCAGTAGGAATCTACACCGTCAATTGAACACAACATTTATGACAATCAGAAAATGATATCATCCAAGAATGATGTGTTATGATCGTTCAAAGACTGGCAAGATATGTAGACCAGGGAGGAAAGTTCGTCCTTCAAAAACCTACCACTCTTCCAAAATTTGCTCACATCTTATGAGATGGTAATATTTTTTATCAAAATGAGAGTCAGTGAGACTATAAATCTATTGCCTCTGAATGTTCTTAGTGCTCAGATGCTAACTGAAGATATGTTCTTGGTAATCATAGCTCCAGAATTAGAACACCAAAAATCTTACATAATGACAATCTACTTGGAGACTTTACAGTCTCTTCCTGGGCTAGAAATAAAAGTAGAAGCCATAGAAGTCTCAAATTTGAGACAGTAATATATGTTGTCGAGTAACAAGGTCCTCTTACCCGAGAAAGACTGTGCTGGCAAGGACCAGCAGCATATACAAAAGACAGACCTTCCCTCTCGTTAGAGAGGGTGCCCACAAAAAACAAGACCATAACTGTCAAACAATAATAAAGATCTTGTCGCAAGCCCCAGATGGGCGCTTTATGCCAAGACAGACAGGCTGACTGACTGTCAGTCGTAAAATGAGACTCAGACTCAGATGTCATAAAAAAAATGGAAAACTTCTGACAATCGTCGGTTTGTTTATGCTGGACTACTGGGATATTTGTTCCTTTGAAGAAGTTTGTTTCACCTTCTTGACTGCCCACAAAAGGGGTATGAAATTAATATTGAACAATAGTTGCCTTTTCTTTTTAAAGGGCAAACTGCACAACAAGGATACCAGGGTGCACACAGAGGTGGCATCTCTCAACATGCACACCATACCACCCCATCAAGGCTAATGGCCTTTCAAAATAGGTTTGCATAAGTGACTTCTGGAAATAGGGTAGGATTTCTACAACAAAGATAAACTGTGTGAAAGTCCTCATAAATATCACAGTTCTCACAGGAAAAGTGACAATAGTGGAGGAAGGACAAGATGAATATCCCAAATATGAGTAGGGAGCATCTAAGGTCCTTAATTGCCACATACAATTGCCACACCTTTCACAGTGTTGCATTTTAAGCACTGACACACAACTGAATGAGAAAAAATTGTGTTATACCTGCCATTTAGAGCACAAAATAAATTTATTTGAAAACATCAAGTGTAAGAGAATTTAATGTGGCCAATGTATAATGATCAAAGGGTCTTCTTAATTCTATCCTCAACACTGCATTTTCCCACTGTTCTCTAACATGTCCAAGGAAATTAAAATGTACGCATCGCATCACACCACTTGGACTGTGTTAATTTTATTACTGGAAGGGTTATTATGTTCCTTGCAACAAACAAACGGATAGATTTGTTTAACGTTCTTAAGTTCTGTAACACTGATATTCACTAAAATACTTACCCTCGACTTTCTGTCCGTCCACTTCCAGAATGAGCTGCCCTACTTCCAAGCCACCGGCTTCGAATGCGGCACCATTCTCCTAAAAGGATACAATATTACCGACGTGCACACTATGGAAATCGAGGACTTCTGAGAAGGATCTATAAAACATATATTCCCTCAAATGCCTCAGGCTATTCGATATGAGGTCAGTAACAGGGACTACAAGTTGACAATTTAGTAACACTGTGATCCATTTCTGTGCTCGTGTTATTAACTAAAGAAGTTTTCAACTATGTTAAATTAGCTCTGTGTAACTAAAGCAGTTAACGATGTTAAATTATCTCTGTGTCAATTAAAAACTCTTTTATTCTACTTTTACATTATTTTCTAATTTACGTCTTTTATTTCAATCTGCATCCCTATTTATTTTGCCAAAAGTTTTATAATTCCTTTACCACTGACTTGCTTCCAGTTAATGAGATGATGCTACATAAAACATTATAAAGAGGTGTTCCTAAGTATTTTTAGATTCTGAGGTCTGTAGTAACTTGACATTTGTTACTGTCAGTTAATAAAAAGCAGAGGGAGTTGTCAAGAACTGAGACAGTGGGAATTAATGTCATCCAGATGCCTACTAGGCAACTGCTTTCCTAAGACTATGACCCTAGTAAGCAAATGGGATTGGTTTACGTGGAATTTTGTATACAATCCCACTCTTTTATTAGCCAGTTATAAGCAGATCTAGTTCAGACTGTGTGACGTATGAGTATTTGTTATGAATATTCATATCTGGTGCAGGAACTTTGACTGGAAGCTTCTTCTGGCCGCAGGTAGTTACTCTGATCTCTCTATGATCTGCCAAGTTCCAGAATAATTAACCTACATAGCCATTTAGGATTTCCGTGAAAATAAGTCTTCAAGGGTGCATAATGCATGCCAGCTAACTAAATTAAAATAAGTGAATTCAGACATCATTGAAAAAAGAAAAACTGGAACTTTACTTATAATAACTTGTGTAAATCTAAATTACATCTCACTTTCTGGAGATCTACTTGCACAGTAACTAAGTAACAAAGTACATCTACCAGAAGAGTGGTAAGCAGCAATATAATAATGATCATGTATGCCCTCCACATTAAGTTGTGATTTATGCAGCGTATTAATGTAGAGTCACGTCCTGGAGTTGTTGCAAGTTCAAACACACTTTGAGATTACATTCAACTGCCTCGCCAGGGCTAACCACCTAAATTCACATATCAGGTGGCGGGGAAGGAGCCTGATATATCCACATCGGTGAGAATAATAAGTCTTCCAGAGTCAGCCTGAAACCCTTTTCATATGTATTTACCTCATCTGATCACTGAAATCCCACTTACTTAGTTCCACACTGAGTTGTGTTTGTAAATGATAATACATAAAATGTTCCATGAGAACATTTGTACGCATGTTTACAGCCTGCATACAACATACAAAACAAACAAAATACAAATTCCGTGGCCTGTAGTCCGCAAGCGAACTATACCGACCGAGTGACCGCAGTTTTTCGGCGAAGTTAGTGCAAACTTTTGCGGATAGAAGGTGTCACGTAGTCGGCGCAAGGGATCCCCACGGCCGTTAATCTCGGTTTTCTAGACCGGAGCCGCTATTTCCTTGAAATAGCTCCTCAATTATCCTTACGAGGCTGAGTGGACCCTGTTCCAGAATCACTAATTTTCAGTAAATCTGGTAGAGCCGGGAATCGAACCCGGGACCTCTGGATATTTAGGCAGGAACTCTGACCACTAGACCGCAAAGGGCGGTCCCCTGCATACAACATTCTTTACGTTAGTTACAATCGTTGATAGACTCAGTCTATTTTTCTAATAAAACATAGGACATATCTCGTTAAGTACTGACCCACACGAAGCATCTAACCATTTCCTGAGCAAGAAGCAGTTATCTCTAGCTTGGCTTATATTGTCCAAGAGCAAGGTGAAACTGCTGGTCTAAGTAAGCGTCACAACTCTTTCAGTTACGCTTACTGGGAAGATAAATACGGATGTGAATCCCGATTTATCTGGCTACATTTTAGAGTATTATTAATTAGATGTAATCGTCAACAAACAAAAGTATTTTTTCTTGATGACATCATGACATGTGGCAACAAACAGTTGGATTTGTATAACTGTAACGTGTACAAGAAGTAAGGGGAATTTAAATTAAAATCGACAAATATTTGCGCCGTAGCTTCTAAGGAACGGTATACAGAAGCACACACATCTGCATTGTGAACTTTCAAGGGTAAACCATACTGATGTTTCCTAATAGAACGCTGGGAATTGCGGCATGGTGTGTAAGCTGTCTCAGTGTTGCCGTACAGAACCAAGGAACTTCGTGGTGCTCGTACACTTTAATTAATAGTTTACAACCAGTCATTTCATTAATGAAATGCCCTGTTTAATGGAATCCGTACTTATAAATCCCACTCGATATTATTCCGAGATACACTAACCTAGTCCACTCCTCACATTCTACACGTATTTCTTTAACATATATTTTAAATATATTCTCCTCTCTACGTCTGGGTCTACCAATATGTCTCTTCTCTTGTCGTTTTCCCAATAAATTGTACGCATTCTTCATATATTTTTCCTTTCTGTGTGTTTGAATCGATTTTTGTTTTGACTGAAATGCTTAGAACACCTCCATGTAAAATACGAATATTAATATGGTTCATATGGCAAGATGCAGAATGCGGGAAGCATCAAGATAACTTCTTACACGTCCGAGGTAGGAAGACAGTTCAACAGTGCCACTTACGTGGATGTTGATAATGCGAGGCAGAGGGTGTTTGGTGTTGGCGCCACCCTCGATGGCGATCCCCAGAATGGGCTTGGTCTTCTTGACGGTAATTCGGAGGTTCCCCTGCTGGTCGGGCACGACAAGTGCACCCTGCACAGCAACAACCCTTCGACATTTCACAATCTGTATTTCTCCTCATGCGTTCAACCACAACCTAGACTACAAACATGACATTATGGGTGCCTAAGACAGTGGCATTTAGATTATATTCCGGTTATGACTCTGTAGTCATCTAGGTACCAATACTTCTCAGAAGCCTGGTGTCGCCATCTTCAGGGCAGAGGCTTCACAACTCGGAACAGCACATTCTGACTATGTATCCCTGGCTCTAGAACTGAAGTACGTACACGTGTTTCGCATTTGTAATAATTTAACAAGGCAGATATGTGATTATGAGGATTTTTACAGACTCGCCTAAACAAACAGTCCCTTGTTTAATAAAATTCAGAACACTCCCAGCTAGCCATAGAACTCCAAAGGACTGCTCCAAATTCTAAAATTAATTTGGCTTGCACTAAACAGGAAAGGCTACACGGCAGAAGATAGAAAAGTATAGCATTTGCGTGGGATGGGCAAAGTTATATAAAAAGATTTGAGAAAGATGAATTGTGTAAATGTCCAATGAATGCGAAGGGCAGTGAACTGTATTATCTGGCCGGAGTTATCAACTTAATATACAGGCCCATGTAAAATTTAAGTCTGGTTCACCTAATTTATTGCTTTTTTTATTTTTATACTTCTTATATTATTAAAATATTTGCACCTGCAATATAGACCTTTTACTATTTCGTATATTTCACCTGGTGATGACCAAACGATCGAACATATAGAGTGTATTTAGAAATACAAAACCAATAAGGATTTTTTTAATATGCTTTCGTATGATGGCTGATGTCAAGCCTTGAATTAACTTCATATATTTCTTACCAGCTCCTCATCCATGTGGGAGTCCACGAGTTCCCCTCTGGAGAGGCGCTGCATAGACTGGTGGCGCCTCATGGTGGATGCCTCAGTTTCTAGGAGTTCCTGGTCTTCCTTCATGTCGAAGCTCCGACTCAGTTTATGCGCCAACTCCTGCAAGAATTTGGGCTCTCGTGCAGCGATATTGCCAGTGCCTTGTTCAGTGCAGAATACTGTATTTTCATACCACTGGCTGTAATCTAAACTACTGTGGCATTATGCAGGAAATCATCGCTATTTCGCTCAGTTCTTGGATATGTTGCTGCTCAAGATTTACAGAACTATGTCCTAGCACGGTGACATCCCAAAGCCTTTCCTAGCATAGGCATATCTACCATAAGCAACTCGCGGATCTAGAGAACTGTGTCCTATTGCAGTGAAATCGTCAATGCATTGCTTAATTTGGGGAAGCTGTAAAAACGTAACCAAGGAGCTAGCTTATGATGCAAGGAATCCCCACTGTCTCACTCAGTTCAGAGGGATTATACTACAGAGCTGACCAAAAAGAACCCCTGGATTTCAGGTACCTATAGTTTGGAACGCGTGGATGTTTGAGGTATTTTTTAGTCATCTGAAACCGATTTTCTTAAAGAAAAATGGAAAAGTTGTTAGGTGCGAAACATTTCACCGTGCGCGCCCTCAATAGCCTGCATAGATCCCACCTGTAATCCACCTCTTGACAGAGGCACTGTAACATTTCCTTTGTAATATCTGCAGTGATCTGTGCTTTGAGATCACCCAGCATATTCAGTCTCTGGCTGTGCACCTGGTCTTTCACATAGCTCCAAATGAATAAGTCCAAAGCAAAAGATCAAGAGAATGAGAGGACTGCAAATTATCTTGTTCCTATCCATCGACCTGGGAAATTCACGTTCAAACAGTTACTGAAAATGTGAGCAAAATGAACAGGCCCGAAGTCCAGATGAGGAGTAAGATTTGCTGCTGATGTTTATCAGCGAATGAGCAAAATTTTCCAAAGTGTCTAGGAATAAATTGGTTACAATGAAGTCCTCATAAAAGAAAAACGAAACGACAACGCTTTCATATGTCAGCGCTCACCCCACACTCACTTAAGTTTCACCCCGTCCATATTATGAAAGTTCCCTGGGAAACTCGCCTTAACACTGCACTTGCTTGGCAGATAATTTCTTCGGACATAGTACGAAAAGTCTGCATAACACGATTTACATCTTCATAAAGTATCATAGGCCGCCACACTGCAGTCTCTCTGAATTGCTTTTACCATCTCCTAATGCTTTTTCCAACCGGTTGTCTCACAACACACTCGCGCTTAAATTCACACTGAACTCAAATAATGGATTCAAATTTTCCGTACCACAATACGGTCAGTGTTATATGCTATACGGTAGACACTGCAATGATCGTGAAGAATACGTAATCAAGTTGTTGTTCGTTACAGTTGGGATGCAAGCACAATTTGTGTCAGTAAACCCGTTTCAGTTTACGATTACTCTGCAAGTGCCAACTTCGTCGTATCTGCATTCGTTTCAGGTGTCTGAAACCATGGAATTCTTTTTGGTAGAATCTGTATCTTAACCCGAGATCTAAAGAACTGGGCCTTGCTCAATTCAGGGAATTAGAGAACCATAGCTCCGAGTCTACAGAACTATTTCGCACTGTGGGGAATTGTCACTGCTTTACCAAGGGCACTGTACTACGAGAACACATTTTAGCTGGGCCCTAGGCCGCGAAATCGACAAGTTCAGGCAAAACGTTCGGTAAACTTTCTTCCTGTGCTCTATTCCAGCCTCAAGTTTAAACTGCACATGGGTCGCGTATATGCTCCTAGAAGACACAGCACTGCACTGCTGTGGAAGACAATCTATTGGCGCTTAGTTTCTCTTTTCATTTGCATATGGAATTTAATGAAAGATGACGGAACAAACGGTTTCTTATTTCTGACTTTCTAACGCGGTGCAGAGACATTACGAAATCGGAATTATTTAGTATTCGGTGTCTTCATTTCATTGAAGAATACGACAGTTCTGTAAGTGGAGGGTTTGAGTTTAAAAATTCTAATCAACTTGCTAATCATCACCGTATCATCAGCGTTGCAATTAATGGACCCTTGTGGACTGCACGATGATCTTCCCTACCTAAATTTTCCCTTTTTGTGTACCGTATATTTCCTGCCTTCATACGAGGGGGTTTGTATTAACTGTAAATAAGTGCCAATATCTAATTATCAATTTATTATTCAATTTGCATGACACTGTTGTGACTGGGAGTGGGGACTTAGGTTGCGCATTACCCTGTGACTGGGAGTGGGGACTTAGGTTGCGCATTACCCTGTGACTGGGAGTGGGGACTTAGGTTGCGCATTACCCTGTGGCTGGGAGTGGGGACTTAGGATGCGCATTACCCTATTCCGAATATTTCGAGGATGAGGGAAGGAAGAGTTGATGAGTGCTGGCGGCAAAAAGGTTCAAGTATCCTCAGCTTCCTCTGTGCTTAACTAAACCATGATTTCAAATTAAAAAAGTATTATTTACAAGCAAACCCTGTAAAGTAATTCTTTATTTTCCAAAATCTCCGTATTCGTGTTTGCAGGCTTGATATTGCGTTCAGAATCTTGTTTCTTCCCGTTTCTAGTCTAATAACCTAAATCAGAAGTTCTCAACAAATATTGCAACACGTACGACGGAAAATAGTTGCCACCTAAACAAAATATATACATTTAAGTAAAAACTAACTAAAATAAAAGTAGTTTTTTTACGAAGTTAGTTACTTTTATACATTTGAATGAAGATTCAGTAAAATTTGGCGACCCAAGACTCGATGAGAAAAGACGCATATGGTCCCGGGTCTTGAGAGGTTTAGAATCCCTGCCCCAATTAAAATGTAATTATACTTGATGCTTAGTGTAGGTGTGTGCTTTTATGTGAAACTCGGTTTTCATCTAAGGAAAGAAAATATGAAGTGCATGAGGATAAAGGGCTGTGGAGAAATATGGACATAGGAAAGAGAATGTAACAGTAGGACTAAAGAAATGTGATATATTGTAATTGGACTATCTGGAATTTGTCAGCTGTTGATATTACTGGGGTGAATATATCAAAGACAACATGGGCTGAACATGAAGCGCGCTTGGGGTAAATAAGAAACACATATACAACTTTAATCAGGAAACCGCGGATGGATGGCTATAACTGAGAGACTCCATCTATAAGAGGCAGTCAAATGAAAACGGGTCACCACGCATAACTCACACGGCGCGCAAGCTGGTAACACTGGAATTTGCTTTCGGTACGAACATCTGGTGAGGACTCTGGAAAGCACATTGACAACGTGCCTTTGCATACTAGTCGTTCGTTTATTGTGCTGGAAGTAAGGTTAGCGCTACGTATGGTCGTATAACATCAGTAATGGAGGCGGGTAAAGAAGAAAAGCGAAGTGTAGTGCGCTTTTTGACTTCTGAAGGAGTAGGAGGACGAGAAATTCATCGTCGCATGTCTGTTGTTTATGGCGAACACAGCATGTCACGTTCGCGTGTGCTGGCGTGGCATAAGAGATTCCGAGAGGGAAGTGTGTCACTGCAAGATGATGCTCGCCCAGGACAGGCTCATCGTGTCATCACTCCTGATGTTACTGCTGCGTTGGATGGTCATATCCGGGCAAACCGACGGATCACTGTGGAAGAAATTAGTCTTTTGATGGGAATACGCCACGGTTCCATACACGCCATTGTGACAAAACACCTGCTGTACCGCAAAATCTGCGCGCAGTGGGTTCTGCACCTACTCACGGAGGAACAGAAGACTCAGAGAATGACTGCATCACTGGGTCACTTGCAACGATACCATGAGGAAGAGTATGCTTTTCTGTCCCGTAGTGTCACTGGGGACGAAACTTGGTGCCACCATTTTGAA